CTCGAGCGAGCGCAGCGCGCTGGCCCGTCACGGAAGCATTCGCGCGAGTGCCGTTTTGTTTCCTCCGTTTTTTCCTCCTCGAGCCGCGCGCGCTGCCCTTCACAGCAAGCAGCCGTTCTGTGTCCTCCGTTTTTTCCTCCGTCGCCCGTCAGGGCCTCGCGCTGGCCAGTCACAGAAGCATTCGGTCGAGTGCCGTTCTGTTTCCTCCGTTTTTTCCTCCTCGAGCCGCAGCGCGCTGGCCCGTCACAGGAAGCATTTGTCGAGTGCCGTTCTGTTTCCTCAGTTTTTTCCTCCTCGAGCCGCAGCGCGCTGGCCCGTCACGGGAATCATTCGCGCGAGTGCCGTTTTGTTTCCTCCGTTTTTCCTCGCGCGAGTGCCGCCGCAGTTTCGCTGCCGTTTTTTCCCCTCCTCGCACAGGAGCAGCATCCTTGCCTGTCACAGTGAAGCATGTTTCCTCCGTTTTTTCTTCCTCGAGCCGCAGCGCGCTGGCCCGTCACAGGAAGCATTTGTGCGAGAGCCTTTCTGTTTCCTCCGTTTTTTCCTCCTCACCGCAGCGCGCTGGCCCGCACAGAAGCATTTGCAGAGGAAGCATTTGTTCGAGAGCCGTTCTGTTTCCTCCGTTTTTTTTCCTCCTCGAGCCGAGCGCGCTGGCCGTCACAGGAAGCATTTGTGTCGGTGCCGTTCTGTTTCCTCCGTTTTTTCCTCCTCGAGCCGCAGCGCGCTGGCCCGTCACAGGAAGCATCGGTCGAGAGCCGTTCTTTCCCTCCGTTTTTTCTCCTCAGCGCAGCGCGAGGCCCGCCACGGGAAGCAGTGTGCAGAGTGCCGGTTTCCTCCGTTTTTTCCTCCTCGAGCCGCAGCGCGCTGGCCCGTCACAGGAAGCATTTGTGCGAGAGCCGTTCTGTTTCCTCCGTTTTTTCCTCCTCGAGCCGCAGCGCGCTGGCCCGTCACAGGAAGCATTTGTGCGAGAGCCGTTCTGTTTCCTCCGTTTTTCTTCCTCGAGCCGCAGCGCGCTGGCCCGTCACAGGAAGCATTTGTGCGAGAGCCGTTCTGTTTCCTCCGTTTTTTCCTCCTCGAGCCGCCAGCGCGCTGGCCCGTCACAGGAAGCATTTGTGCGAGAGCCGTTCTGTTTCCTCCGTTTTTTCCTCCTCGAGCCGCAGCGCGCTGGCCCGTCACAGGAAGCATTTGTGCGAGAGCCGTTCTGTTTCCTCCGTTTTTTCCTCCTCGAGCCGCAGCGCGCTGGCCCGTCACAGGAAGCATTCGTGCAGAGCCGTTCTGTTTCCTCCGTTTTCCCTACTCGACCGCGCGCGCTGGCCCGTCACTGGAAGCATTGTGCGGGAGCCGTTCTGTTTTCTCCGTTTTTTTCCTCCTCGAGCCGCAGCGCGCTGGCCGTTCAGGAAGCATTTGTGGCGAGAGCCGTTCTGTTTCCTCCGTTTTTTCTCCTCGAGCCGCACGCGCGGCCCGTCCAGGCCTTTGTGCGAGAGCCGCAGCGCGCTGCCCGTCACCTTTGTGCGAGCCGTTGTTTTCCTTCCTCGGCCGCAGCGCGCTGGCCCTCACAGGAAGCATTTGTGCGAGAGCCGTTCTGTTTCCTCCGTTTTTTCTTCCTCGAGCCGCAGCGCGCTGGCCCGTCACAGGAAGCATTTGTGCGAGAGCCGTTCTGTTTCCTCCGTTTTTTCCTCCTCGAGCCGCAGCGCGCTGGCCCGTCACAGGAAGCGCACCAGCGCCCCGTCACAGGAAGCTCAACGGCGCGCTGCCCGCTGCCCCGGCGCCCCGGCGCCGCTCCTGGCCACTGCTCCAAGGCGGGGCTGGCCGCCTCGCTTTGTCGCCCATGGGGGCTTGCCTCTCCGATGGGTCACGGCGCAGCCACCCCGCTTCGGCAGCTCGAGTTGAGTCGGGCATGTCCCTCTACAGGAGGAGTATCCCAACATAGCAAACCAATAGTCCGGGGACGATTTTCTCATTGCCATATATACCTATACTTTTCATATATGTTTGACCATTTTTGAATTTTCTTGGAGTAGTTTTCATTATTCGTCGTTAACCCGCCTCTGGGGGGACATGCCCGACCTGAAGCTTGCACTTGCCGCGCGACCTCTGTGTACCGCAGGCCTCTGGTGCCCGAGGCCGCCTGCGCACTGCTCGTGGCGGAGGCCGTCTACGCCTGAGGCCTCCGCCCGCGCTTTCCCCCGCCGCGGCCGCCCTCCTGCACGTCCCCCCCCGTCGCCTCGGTGTGCCCCCCGCGTGCCGGCGCGGCCCGCTGGCCTTCCGGGCGCGCTGGTGTCCACCGGCCGGCGCCGACCGAGACACGCTTCAGGGCGGAAGGGTGCCCACCAGCAGAGCGTGCGTGGTCTGGCTTCTCCAGAGCGCGATCCCGCGGCTGCGCGGTCGCACCGACACGTCCCGCGCGGGGCCTCCACGAGGAAGCGCCCCGTCATTGCCGGCGGGGTCGCGGCCCAGGGGCGCGGCCCTCGAGGCCGTGGATGCGGATGCGTGTGCCGCCCGC